CTCTGTATAATGCATATTAAAGTTCATAAGTGCAGCGCTGCTTTGTTTACAGCAGAAACCAGGAAACGCTTTAAGCGCCACCTGCTGGCGGAGAGTGAGTCTGCGTCTAGTTCAGCTCGTCTGCTGTTTCGGTTTCATACAGATATTTTTTTATGTATAGTTTCACAAAACTGAAGTCAAACCATTCTGTTTTTCCATCAAATGTCGAAATTATACAATCTAATTTAGATTAAAAACCGCTCATGTTGCATGTATGCAGCATCTTTGTTTGGATCAAGATTAAAATGCAGTGGTTGCCTCTAATTTTAAAAGGAAAGAGCACAGACAAAGCCTTATTTTGTTTATATGAAGATATTTATTTTATTTGTGTTACTTATTTATTTGATTTGGGGCTTGTTTTAAAATTTCAATTTTACATCTACATTATATTTCAATTTAGTCACTTAGCAGACGCTTTTGTCCAAAGCGACTTACAAATGAGGACGATAGAAGCAATCAAAACCAACAAAGAGCAGTAATACGCAAGTGCTATATTAGTATATTATTATAGTGTTATATTTCAATTTCACTAAGAAATGTGCAGCATTTTGTCCAAGCAATAATAAAAGGACACATTTAATTTAGAATTTGTCTTAAATCTAATTTTGTTTAAAAAAAGAATAATAATCATGAATCGAATCGTGAGTTGAGTGAATCCTTGCATCCCTACTGCATTGGTTAAAGCGTATGGGGCTGTCACGTGATGAACGAACGACTCGGAAAAACCCGAAGACTCGAACCAGGTGAACTACTTGACTAATTCCAGTACAGAACCTATAGGATGTTGCGCATGCGCGACTGAACGAATCACGAATTCTGACGAATCAAAATGAACGAATCGTTCAAGAACGACCCACCACTACTGAAAACACAGTCTAGCCCTTCGTTTCAGACAGACGGTGCTTTCTGGTGACCAAACATTGAAAACGAAAACGAAATTTTATTTGGGAAGTAAAATCGCTTAGTTTCAGTTGATCTCGGGGACGAAACGCACAAGCAGCGCAATGCTAGAATGTTCCATAATGTGATTGGCACGGAACGAGCGCTTTATCGAAACCACGGCCGATAATTTATTCAATAACATGACAATGGCTTCTTGGTGATAATGCTGTATTATTATACGGGCTATATGAATATAAGCAGCCCAACATATCCGCTCGCCGCATCTCTTAAAGCAGAAATGAAAGTCTCAGCGCAGGCTAACTCATGCTAACAGTTAGCACAGTCACCTTGGGCAGAACTTGACATGTTCTGCTGCTTGACAATCCGCACACAAGCCCAAACCCCGGAGTAACCGAACTACGATAGAAGAAAACTAACTCAGCACGCTATTTGCCCATTCATATATATAATTTGCATTCAATATATATATATATATAAACTAGACGGTGTAAACTAGTTTTACGAGTAGCATCAGGCCACGGCTAGACCTGCATGCGAAACTTGACACACACACACTCTCTTAAACGTTCACCTGAGCTCTGCTGTTCCCGTTATTCCCAGGGCTCAAGGCCGGGTGGTTTCTGTGTTGTGCTCCCCAGCCGTGGCTGTACGGGGAGCTCAGGTCTTTGCCCAGACCCATGCCGGACTGCTGCTGCGGGGTGCTGTAGTCTTGATAGCCGCTGCCATATCCGCGCATCATCGGACTCGGAGATGTCAGGAGCTGGTTTAGGGTGGGTGTAGCTCCAGAAGGGTGCAGTTGGTTTTGTCCGGGGAACCTCTGAAAGCACCCAACATTGGCACCGGGAGCTGGGGTAACGTTAGTAGAGGCCATAGCAGCCTTGCCATGAATAGCAGCAGCGGCGGTAGGCGAATTGTTACCTGGGCCCATCATGTTCCCCTGCCGCGACGGGCTCATCATACCGTATCCAGCGCCACCGTACCCCGGCCGGTAGTTGGGATAGTGGTTGTACGGATTATTATGGTACCCTTCGTGGGAGTTTTGCACTTGATCCATGTTGCCCTGTGCTTGATGCATTAAAGCCGTCCTAGGGCTTTGTTGTCCGCCATGTTGATCAAAGCAAGGCCCTCCTCTTCCATTCCCGTAATAATGATTAAACTCAGAAACGGAGCTGTTCCCGCTTTGGGACGCGCTGCCGCCGCTGTTGTTGTTGTTGTTGTTGTGGTTGCTCGTTGGTCCGAAGTTGGAGTGCTCGTACCTGCTGCCCATCCGATCCCCCCCGGTTTTGGACGAGCGCTCCTCCTCGTCGCTTGTGTTCAGCAAACGCGGATGGCGACCGACCTGCGTCTCCAGAGCGCTCTCTTTCCCTCCATGCTGCCGGCTCCCCGGATCTCCGCGCGCGGGTGTCGGGCTGATGTTGTTGTTGTGGAGGTGCACGGCTCGCTGCTGGTGCTGTGGCTGTTGCTGTGGAGGCGTGCGATGATGAGGCGAAGGAGGGGGATCTCCGCTTCCAACATTTCTCACTTGATGATTCGCGACCAGACCCGTTTCCATACTCGAAATCGCGGTTAAATGAGCAGAAAAGACCGCGGGTTGATTCTCAGCGTCCGTGTTTTCGCAGAGACTATAGACGCATGCTGATGCCCATCTACATTATTCATTGAGGCAGCGCTGTACCCATGCACAGCCCCGCATCACACCGATTCCTCCTCATTCTCACCATTAGATTTTGGATGGAGCCCTTGCCACCGCTGTCCTGTCAAGGGATGGCTGCGTGAGCACGAGCTGTGAAAACAATTACTGAGGCGTTGAAACTGAGAAAGAAAAAAATCTGCTAAAATACGCGTTTAACTTGTGGTGTTTCGGGGGGAGCATATAGGCGTTCATATGTTTTCACATATTCAAAAGTTTATTTTTAATACCAAACTTCCGAGCAATGGCGCCATGAATGTGCATAAGACCCCTACCAGAGCCCCTTTGCTCCAGGCAGCATGGCATTATCCAGCATCTCCTCCAGCTCTCCACTGCTCTGCGCTGAGTCTGCTGGAAAAGCCGGACCGGATGATTCGGGAGTTCTGTGTTTACGTTGTTAATCCATCTCGGAAACTGCATTTGGCTTATTTTCCACAAAAAGGTGCATTTAGTTTTAATTTAGGTTTAGGCGTCGAATGCATTAGAAATAATGTTAAGGAATTAATGTTGTGTAATTATGAATACAGAAACATTATGAATGCAAATATGAAAACGTATGCACTTTTTAAAAAAAAAGGTACAAAAGTTGGGCCGTACCTTTTCTAACAGGTAACTTTTTCTATCTTATTAACCCTTAAGGGTGCATGTAAGTAATTTAAAGTTATAAAACGGATAGTTCCGGTCCTTGATTCTGATTGGCTGAGCCACGTTCGAAGCTGTTGTAAATTACACTACAAACACACACCTTTGTTTAGGTTTGTCTGCTGCTCGTCAACCACTTTGTTGCAACCACAACTGTTTCTGAGGAACTACATTGTTTGGTGGAAGAATAATGTTTTTATTAATATCATTACACTTTATTTGCTCTGTTTTATTTTGTGAAACCTTACTACGTATATGGAATAACCGTTTTATAAAAGCTATAAGCGCCAAGAAGCCGTGGTTTACAGTGAATTTATAACCGCTAAGGGGGCTTCGCGTCGTGCCTAACAACGCCCCTTCGCTGTTATAAATTCACTGTAAACCACAGCTTCTAGGGGCTTATTGCTTTAGTACATATTATAAATGGTACATATTTGTACCTTTTGAAAAGGTACTGCCCCAGTGACAGCTTCTGTACCTTTTTTTCTGAGACTGTGCTGTTGTAATAATTGCAATGTTTAAAGGGTTAGTTCACCCCAAAATGAATATTAGTCCATAAATTACTCACCCTCAAGTCATCCTAGGTGTATATGACTTTCTTCTTTCAGACGAATCCAGTCGGAGTTATATTAAAAATTGTCTTTGATCTTTCAAGATGTTTAATGCCACTCAGTGGGTGTTGCATGCATCAGTCCAAAAGAAGTGACATAAAAAGCGCCCATCCATAAAAATAAGTGTCTCACATGGATCCGGGGGGTGGACAAAGTCCTTCTGAAGCGAACTGATGCGTTTTTGTAAGAAAAATATCCATATTCAAAACGTAATAATCACTTTAACGTAGCTTGCGCCAGCAGTTGTACACAGAAGCAGTTCCAGGAGCATGACGTATGAGTTCAGCGTTACGTCGCTTTTTTAATGCTGCACAGAGTTTTAACAGCATGTTTGTATGCATTTATGCATTATAGCGACTGCCCTAAGGAATTGAACTCATTCCTTTGGGGTTGCCACATTCTGGGCTATAGGAACATGTATGCAGGAACTTCATTCTTGCCTTATGATCTAGAACAAATACGATACGTTTCAGAGATAAAGTACACAATGACAATACTCAAAATAAATGGACATTTATGACTTCATTTTGTTCTTACACCATTATTATTCTTTCCCCCGATTGCTGATCCATATGCACAGTACTGTGGGATATTATGGGGTTACATGGTAAGGATACACATTGCCTTCAAAAACACATCTTAGTACAAATATTCTACACAAACTTTGACTTTCGTTGCTGCCCTTCTACGTCTCAGCAAGGTAGCATTTTTCTGACACAGTCATCAACATTAAATCAAAAATCGGCTACCCTACTCTCTAAATATCAGCAATTCCATGCCGGATTTTCTCCAGCGCAGTGGAATTGGTCTCAATCCATTTCTCTGCAGCCCAACACATCACACAGATATGAACTGAATCGCAGGATATATCATTCCGTGCTCTAGACAAATCACAGAAAAAATATTATATTGTGCTTTCACTATATTATGCAGTTGTTAATTACGTTTTATTGCGTTTTAAATGGCACCAGCATCTAATTTCATGCATTAACCAATTCTGTTACTTGCCGATTTTGTACCTCACCATCGACAATACATACAGGAGGCTTGCAACGAATTGTTGGAATATTGCTTAAACTGCTGCATCTCTAAAATGACACCTTCTAATGGGGTGATATGTGTATGGTGGAGAGGTAGGCCTGCTCTGGGGATGGCTCGGCCTGTTCAGCATGAGCAGGATGTGAAAGGACCTCCCCCAGCAGCAGTGGCAGCAGCTCAAGCACAGAAACTGGGTCAGACAAAAAAAAAACCCACTCAGGCAGTCAGGCTTAGCTCCAGAGTGATGCTGTGACACTGCAAGCGTTTTCTCCACAATAGAAAAGCAACACCTTCTAATACAAAGGTAGAAAAGTCGCCTTGGCAATTAGTTTTACTATAACTATTTATGATAAAATTGTGGATTATGTATGCAAACAGACATGGCAAATCTTGTCATGGCAGCTTAAATTAAAAAGGTGGGTTTAAAAGACTTAAATTTCAGTTATATTATCAATTTGGCTGCACACGTTTATAATATCCCTATAGTAAAATTTGTATATGTATATAATGTTAATAATATGATGATTTTATATGGTATTATATGTAGCAACATGTACATGACATTTTCAAAAATGTATTACACATACATAAACATACATATTTGTCTGGGCTAGATATACAGTATATGCTAGTATATAAAATTGTTCCCATTTCTAATAGCTGTCATGTATGTTTTTACTTAAAATGACAATGTATTTCATAAATGGAAATGTATATTACATTTGTGTATGGGCTGAACTGACTTGAGCTGAATAATGGCACTAATGTCTTTTTAGAGCTGCTTCACAGCTATAATTCTATTCAATTCACTTTTGAATAATACTGTTATTTTCTTGTTTATTACTGTAAAGCTGCTTCAAAACAATCTGTATTGACTTGACCTTTAAAATGGCATATTTTAGTGTAGCAATAGTATTTTATTTAGTGCAGTGGTCCTCCGTAATTCAAGTCTTTTAAAGCACTGTGATAGCTTTTTGCAAGGAACAGATATAATTCTTCCAAAACATTAACCTCCACAGTATCTCTAAAGTATGGTTGGGGTGATTCAATAACATTTGGTCACAGGATAAACAAAAACCAATGGCGTTTGATGCCAGCGACGCCTCAAACTTAACGCGACTACAATTGCAAAAATTGTTTCTTATGACATATACAGTATCTGACATAAAGTCACTACCCCCGTATCTCTAGCTCCAAATTAAAGCATTTCTCCGTGAAAACATTTTAGTGACGAAATTGCCCATCTTTTGCTGCTAATCACTTATTATTTTTATTTTATGGTCCTCTGTAATTCAAGTCTTTTAAAGCACTGTGATAGCTTTTTTGCAAGGAACAGATATAATTCTTCCAAAACATTAACCTCCACAGTATCTCTAAAGTATGGTTGGGGTGATTCAATAACATTTGGTCACAGGATAAACAAAAACCAATGGCGTTTGATGCCAGCGACGCCTCAAACTTAACGCGACTACAATTGCAAAAATTGTTTCTTATGACATATACAGTATCTGACATAAAGTCACTACCCCCGTATCTCTAGCTCCAAATTAAAGCATTTCTCCGTGAAAACATTTTAGTGACGAAATTGCCCATCTTTTGCTGCTAATCACTTATTATTTTTATTTTAATCAATTATGTAGACTACATGACTATTATATCCTTAATGCATTACACACATTGTCTTTTAAGCTCTTTGTGAGCCTATTTAAACTAATTCAATAAATTCAGTTGATTTATTTACTGTATTATAAATATTTGAGTTCAGCTTCTCAAACTTTTTTCGTTCAGTCTTCTCAAACTTTCGTGGCAGCCGCTGTTTTTTCTTGCCTTGGGAATGTGTTTCAATTCATGATATTTTTCAAAACAGTCCCATTTTCAGCAGAGAAGTGAACTCTCTTGTGAGAAGTGAATTGAACTGACGCTGTTTCGTGTGATTGACTGTTCACTGCAGATGCCACACATTTGTTTTGTACTTTAACTTTTTAGTATTTTGTGTGTTTGTGTTCACTTTCTATATCTTGGTATTTGCTTGTGATGAGCTTTGATTCTATGTGTGGCTTTCCCATTACCACCTGTGTTTCTGGTGGTTGCCAGTGTATTATAAAGGTAAAAAACTGATTTTATTACTTGATATAATAACATTATGTCATGTTTAGGAAATATAAGATTTATTTTCCATAAAATTAAAGGGTTAGTTCACCCAAAAATTTAAATTCAGTAATTAATTACTCACCCTCGTGTCGTTTCAAACCCGTAAGACCTTCGTTCATCTTCGGAACGCAAATGAAGATATTTCTGACCCTGCATAGACAGCAATGCAACTGAAATGTTCCCAAGTCCAGAAACGTAGCAAGGAGATCTGTAAAATAATCCATGTGACATCAGGGGTTCAACCGTAATTATACGAAGCTACGAGAATACTTTTTGTGTGCAAAAGAAAAAAAAAACGACTTTATTCAACAATTCGTCTCCTCCACGTCACCCTGTAGCGCCATTTTGGAGAATATCTGCTGGACGTAATCAGCGTATGCTGTTCTGTGTCAGCTGTGTCACACCGGATCTGTTTCCTACGTTGTTGTGATTTGATCTGAACGAAAACAGCGTATCCATGTGACACAGCTGACACAGAACAGCATACGCTGATTACGTTCAGCGGATATTCTCCAAAATGGCGCTACAGGGTGACGTGGAGGAGACGAATTGTTGAATAAAGTCGTTATTTTTTCTTCTTTTGCGCACAAAAAGTATTCTCGTAGCTTTGTATAATTACGGTTGAACCCCTGATGTCACATGGATTATTTTACAGATCTCCTTGCTACGTTTCTGGACTTGGGAGCATTTCAGTTGCATTGCTGTCTATGCAGGGTCAGAAATATCTTCATTTGTGTTCCGAAGATGAACGGAGGTCTTACGGGTTTGAAACGACACGAGGGTGAGTAATTAATGACAGAATTGTCATTTTTGGGTGAACT